TATATTTTTCATAGACACTACGGTAAAGATAATTAATTTAATTTAATTTTAAGCTTCTCCATATCACAAGCATGTATTTTAATTTTTTTCTTTAAAATTAAAATTTATTTTAATTTTAATATTTTTATTGAATTGTAAATGTGTGAATTCATTTCAGTGAAATGCATTACACAAAAGTAATGTAAAGGTATTAAAAATAATAAGTTTTTATACATTAACTTATTTCCTTTGAAATATTTAAACAATTTGGCGCGAATCGGAAAATTAACATGAAGTCAAGTCCATTAAAAATAAGTGTTGAACCTAAATTGAGTAGGAGTTAAATTCGTAATAGCCTCAGTTAAATGTATGAAAAAATGTTTCTTTTTTTTGCTTTGATTTAAAAGGTGGGAAAACTGTTAAAATATTTAACAAAATTTATACTTAAAAAAAATTATTTTAAAATTAAATGTTTCATGCACGAGTTCTCTTAATGCGATTTTTAATTAAAAGCATGAAAAGTGCTCTAAAGGTCAGAGTTTTTTAATCGAAGTTTAATAAAAAATTAATTTTTTTAACCAATTTTTGTTTCAATTTACTATTTTTCGATGAAGTAAAATATTAACTAAGATAATTTAACTATTAAATAACTTTAACAATATTTAATAGTATTAGTATATTAGTGAGTCATATAATTATCTGTTACCAAAATAAATTTAATTAGATGAGAGAGATAACTTTTGAAAAAAATATATTTTGTTTGGAATGATAAGTATATATAAAAATTCAGCAGTACAGATTCAATCTAAACGACTCTCCTTCACAAATCTGAAATAAAATACATGCAAAAATTTAGATGGTAACACCGTTTTTTACCTAATATGTACTTTGACCGTTACTTACTTTTGTTTCAGTAGGTCGAAAGCATATCGATCTCTATTTCGATTTCTGCCCCTGTCAGCTCGAAGGTTGAAGGTCGAAGGTTGATCTATGACCATTTCTTGCTACAGGCAAATAGTAAGTGTACCCTTACCGCCCCAGCATCAAGATCAAGAGCTACTTGGCAAATGTATTCCAAATACAGAACATCTGACTTAATACACAGAAGCAAATTAGAGGTATCTATGTTAATATCTGTCTTTACAGGAAACTAATCCATATGACTGCATGGAGCTAGACTCAGTCTACTCTACCTCTTGCAGTGCGAGACTCTCGAAGAAACGATACCAGATGTGTTCCTTCTTGTGGTAACGGAGAATGTTTAAAAGAGGTGATAAGCGAATATTGGAACTACTTACAACGATGTATTCCAGCTCTCTAAGTTTTAAGAGCGCGGGAGAAAAGTACAGCAAATGATACTGGTGTCGATGTTCTCTAAACTAAGATGGCATAAGCGGTTGAGAGCGAAGCTAAGACGAAACAGATAATTGTTAAGAATAATTATAGAAATTCTGGCGAGTATTGCAGGATAAATTATTGCCCTACAAAACTGGGAATCCTAATGGAATTTGTGGGTTCTATAGAGAAGAGAATAAAACCTCAAACCACATGTTAGAAGTTTGCCTGGAACTTATATATAAGTGAAAGCGAATTAGGTGGGGGTCTGATATCCAAGAAAAAATTAGAATTTTTAAAACTTAAAAAACGTCTTTCTAACTAGAAGTAACCATTAGTTATCAGTGTACAATAGTTTATCGCACTGTGTCTGTTTCGCAGCTAATATTTGTTCTATTAGTCATGGAACTTTTAAGAAATGTTCAGATTTAATCTAATTTTTAATTTAAAATAACTATATTAATATATGGTACTTTAATTGGCAATTCCATTTTTTTTGTATTATGGTGATTTTATAAATATTTTTATTAGTTATTTTACAACAAGCACAGTTATCTTAGTTGAGAGTAATTTAATCGAATAATATCTTATATATGAATTCATATCCAATATTTTATGTAAAAAACTTATCTATGAGTTAGTGTCTCCGTACAGTGCATTCGTCTCGTAATGGTAATTTAATCAGGCTTGAGTTAAACTTGTCTGCTCGATTACGTGAAACGCATTACCGTAGACATAATTTATAGACAAATCTATTTCATCTTAGGTACTTTCGCTGATATTCAATATTTGGCGTAATTAAGTCGCATACATTTTAATTCGATTTCAATCGTCGTTACATATAAACAAGAAGAAAGTTTGTTTTTGTTGTGTAATATTTTAAGATAATGATAAGATACAAGCCAAATTCAAGGAAAATATATTAATTCAATAAAAACTTCCAACTGAATTAGATTTGCGTAAGGTACTGATATAAACATAACAAATTATTCAACAACTCATTATGCATAAATATCTTTTAATTTTAATTCAAGTTTCTAAATTTTTTTTATATATTATATATTATTTATGTAAGAAATTAGCATTTTTGTAGATGAGCATCGATTTTTTGCCTACACTGAGAGTCTACAAATTTGCAAATATTTGAGACTACACAAGATTCGCATTAATTATAAATATAATTATTTCTGCAAAGAAATTAATTTTTTATATTTATATTTAAATAATATTTTTTTAATTTTTTTATTTATTTATTTTTTTTTTGAATTCTTTCATTCATAAACTCACACACTTAATTTTCTTGTTTTATAGCCCAACCCAAAAAAATGTTATATCAAATTTTATAATTAAAAAACCAACAAGTTTGAAATTGATTTTATGTGAAAACTCCTCGAATTGTGCTAAAAACACAGTTTTAGGTATGTGAAGTATATTTATTTATTCAAAATTAATTTATACTTAATTTGAAAAGTGATTGATGTGATTAAAATTTAAGGAATTGCCGCAGAAGAAATCTAACATGGATGATTATTAAATTAAATTGGCTAAAATATTAATATATAAATATAAATTATTAAATTAAAATTTATTGTATATATGCATATATGCTGTGATATGATTGTACAGAAACTGTTATAGCAAAAAAAAATGCACCACAAAAAAATTTAATAAATGGTATTATAGATACCATTATACCATATTTGTCTTATTCTCATTCTATCGTATAAAACTTGAAAAAGACTATTGAAAAGACTATTCTTTCATACTGCATCCATTCTTCTTATTCTATTTTATAACTTTAATCAGTCATAAAATCATTTATTTATTTTAAACATTTAGACCATTTTACTCTTAAGAAAAAAAATGTAATGTCTCTTTTAAATTCTCAGTTTAGAGTTAATATATATATACCACGATGCGAGATCTGAAAGTCAAATATATGAATCGCGGTTTAGATACAGATATAAAGGCAAAATGCAGCTTAAAATTTATAAATGATAAATACTTAAGAAAATTTATGAACCTTTGAAGTTTGAAGATACTGGGTAGAAATCAGCTGCTTAAAAATGATTTAATCATTTGTTTTGTAAAAACCAATTTAAGATAGCACACACGCTGTAGCCCATCGAGCCAGAGTTATGAAATCTTTCTAAATTTATAAGTAATGTCGAATGCAAAAAGCGTTCCAGCCAATTTAGAAAAGTTAATCTTTGTACTTCACCTAATTATTAAACTTAACTAACCAATATGTGCCCGTTGGTGGGTGTACATGTACACATCCCTGTTAGCATCCAACTAGATCCAGTTTCAAATATACGGGTTCGTTCTTTCTTATCTTATTTCACAGGAAAGTGATACCAGAAAGGTTTCTCTGATGAAGAGGTATGAGGCGTTTTAGTCGGTAAGTGTCGGCCACAGCGGTAGCATGAAGATGGTGCTGACGTCTCATGATAGGTTTCACACGCTTCACCGCAACGCTTAGTTACTCTCATTGATTAATAATACATAGATGGAGTTATAAAATCTTCCCAAATTTATAAGAAACTAGCTGACTCGTGTTTGACTTCGTGTCACTCACTCGTTTCTAATGATCGAGCAAGAAGAGTGTGAACTCGATCTCTTTCTAGCCTTGCGTGCCTCTGCTCACTCGTTTCAAATGATCAAGTAAAAGCAGTGTGAACTCGACCTCTTTCTTGCCTAGTTTTTCTCTGTTCACTGACCAAACTGACTTCTCGCAATCTAACAATCTCGGATTGCTGGATTGTTTTAAATGATAGTGAAAATTATATTACAGAACACACTTTTACCAAAATATTACTAATTAAATGAACTTAGAACCCCAACTCTGATTTTAATAAAATTTGCAAAAATCTTCCCGGGGAGATACCTAAAAGTTTACCAAATTTTCACGGTGATTGAATGTATGGTTTTTGAATCCATCGAGTACAGACAGACAGACAGATAACATTCATTTTTATATATATAGAATATATATTTCAGTTAACTATTGTATCAAAAACCAAACTTAAAAAATTAATTTAATCAGTTAAAACATAAATGAATGTGGATTCTACACAGTTAATGAGTAGTTAAGTGAGAGAATCCGCATTGAATTCAATTCCACTTAAATTGAAAGTTCAAGCAAATTGAATGGAAGATAATTGAAACTGTCAATTCCACTGACACTTTCAAGCTCAAATTGAATTCAATTACTGCGGGAGGAGGGAAATGCAACTACAATGGCTTGTGAGTAACAAACTTTGCAATTCACAATAAATCAGCGACTTACAGCGTTTGTTGCAGGCACTGATCGATTGTAAGTGTTGCTAGAAATGAGTTTGTTACAATTGTTGCTGTTGTTGTTGGTGTTTTATTGTTGTCAACAATTTGCAAAGGTTTTCTCAAATAAAATCAAATTAAATCAAAACAAAAAAAAAACCTGATTTTCATGCTTCAAACTTTTTTCTGGTGGCGATATGCAGAAGTAATGCAGTTGGAGCGACTGCATTGCTGCATTGCTGCATTGCTGACTACTGCTAATGCACTCGTTGCTACTTTTGCTGCTGTTGTTGCTGTTGCTGCTGCTGCTGCTGTTGTTGCAATGCAATGGAAACCGTCTTTGTGGTGCATGAAGTTGCAATTTTTTTTTATTCAAAAGTATAAATAACGTAAAAGAATCGCAAACTGAAACAGTTTAAGTGCGTTTCTGAAAACGTTCGTTGCCTAAAGCGGAGCAAAATCAAAGCCGAAAACTATAATACATAATATTTTTCACAAGTCTCAAGTTTGAAAAAGTGTTAAAAACAACAAATAACATAAAAATGTCCTTCAAGGTACGCAATTTAAAAGGATTCTTAAAGCATAAACATGTGCACTTATACAATATTCGTATTGGTTTTTTTTTTGTTGTTTTATTTTATAATAAAAATTTTTAAGTGTGGAAAGTTTGTGATATATTTTATGTGTCTTGAGTGTTTATGTGTTTTTAAAGAAAAAAAATTTTTTTTTTTATTTGTTAAAAGTTTTAAAAATACCTGTTTTTGTTTTGGCTTTCAATTTGTACGAAATTGAAAACAAAGGATAAAAAAAAATGGATCTATTGTATGTTGTTTGTCAGCATAACAAATAATCCTGTTATTTTTATCAAGACAAAAATGTGATATGTATAACGAATTAGTATGGTATATGGTTCCATGCCCACAGAAAATGCAAAAGGATTTGTAACTTAGTAACTTGTAGTCTTCTCTAATGACTTATCTGATTGAGCTTTGTTCCAAAAGGATACAAATATCTATACAAACAAAATGGCTTCGAACTAATAATGCTAAGGATATTTTTGTTATGGTTCCTATTTATGTTTAAATTGATGCTTAACTCAATGTTTTTCTTGCTTCTTAACTTAAAGTATTATACTTAAATCCTGCTTTACTTCTTCAGTAACAAACATAAAATGTAGCTCACAAAATAATTTTAAATTTCCTGGCAATTCCTTTCAATTCCTTTGTATGGTTGAGTAGCGCGTGAGACATGAAAAAAGAAGATTGAATAAGGACATTGACAGTAAAATTTGACAAATGAAAGCAACAAAACGTTTCCAAAGCGTATCGTAAGAAACAAAAGTAAAATTTACTGTCTCAATGACCAACCGTTCTCAGTTTCTACTTAAGGATTTATACGCTTTTAGTATCCTTATAAGATTTTAAATGTTATTTAAAATTTAATGCTGGCACAATTTAAGTTTTGTCCGAACGTTTTATTTAATTTGTTGGGAACTCATTATATTGTAAATTTTTTCTTGATTTTTTATTTTAACTTTCCACGTTTCATTTCAATTTTCTTTTGAAATTTTCAAATAAAAACTTTTGGCTGGGTTTTCCTTTGCAGCAAAAGAGTTGCTGATGCGTTGGTTTTCTTACTGCACTTTGAGACTTTCTTTGGTTTAAGTTCAAGTGAGTACAATTATTTATCCTTCAGTTTTGTAAACTAAATTCTAGTAGTTGTCAGGATACTGAGATAAAAGCAGAAAAACCAACTTCAATACTGGAGGCCAAAAGGTTACGAAAAATATATCCTTACCAATTTTTATACTTTCAGTAGTTATCCTTTGTTCCTTTTTTATTCTATTTAAACTGCAAACTATTAGAGCGTAATATTCTTATGGTCGAATTCTTCCTCTTATGGAAGAAGAAAATTACTGAAAATTGTTGCTGCAATTTTGTTATAGTTTTTATTTGCTGATTATTGGAGTTACAAAGGAGTGTAAAGGCAAGAGTGCAATAAATATAAGTCAAGTGGGAGGAAAAGAAAAACCTTTTTAAGTATAATAAAAATGTTATAATAAATTTATATAGAATATAAAAAATTGTTTTCAATATATAAGTGTTGGAAAGTGGAGGTTTTATTAATTTATAATTTTTTTTTCTAAAATGAAACCCACACAAAATGTATATTTAAATGGTTTTGATTTTGAAAGTGTGATGAATAATTGCTACTTATCAAGAATAACACCAACGTTTAATGTAGTTGGAAATATAATACAAAATATGTATAAATTTTGTTACTTGGACAGAATAATTTTAAGTGCGATACACCTTAAGATATATTCCAAATATATACACCTTAAGATATATATTTAAAATATAGGCAGTGGGACACCAACTGAGTATGTGCTGTAGGTATGAGCTTCAGTGTGAATGATTACCGTTCTTTGCTGGATGAATGCATCTTAACTCAACTGCAAGCCATCATAAAAAAGAAAGGTGCTCTAATCTGGGTTGGTATACCTAATCGAAAGTTTCAGTGTGAATGAAGTATTCAAGGATATGTAGCAAGTAGAGTTTTAGTATTACGGAAATCACGGCTAGAAGTTAACTCATTGAACGCAATGTCGTAGAGACTGTTATTAAAATCCTTTTATTCGATGTAGAGTTACAACCAACCGAGGGCTGGAAACTGAAGAACAATATAAGTATAAGTGTTAAACCACATTCTTCAGAGATGAAAACATTAATAAGCTAGTTAATATACCTTTACACTTAAATGAGTTCTATAGTTATGGTCGAAATGGAAAGGTGTTTTGGAAAAAAATTCTGAATATTTTTTCTTTTATATTTTTAAGAATATAACCTTCTCGAAATTTTTAAAAAATTTTTGGTTCATTTCTGGTATCTTTTAAACATCTTTTGCTAAAAACATTTTCTTCTATCATCTAATCATCTTTTGAAGCAGGCCACTATTTTTTTTAATAAATGCGCATATTTATTATCAGTCCATTTATTAAGTACGAAAGTATATGCGATTATTGGATATAATAAAATAATTTTCACCATAAATTACTAATGCAATTGAAGCAAGTCATACATTGAAAAATTCACATTGCACATTGCATTATATCTCTCAATTTGAAAATAACTCCATTTACTTCACTCCATCAAGCATACAATGTTCAAATATACTACATATTTTAATATTTGAAACTCGTCCTGTTAATTAACAGCACTAAAACAGCGATGAAAATAACAACTAACAGCACTAAAAATTTGATAAAAATAAATAAGAAAATAAAACGAAAGTATAATTTTACAAAATATCTTCTTAGAATATATACACAAATATTTTTAATTTTAAAAAATAAAATTAATTAAAATTAATTAATTAAAACAAATATTTTCTGGATGTTAATTAAAGCAAAAATTTTCGTTATGCAGCAAAATGTTGCCTAAAAATACAATAAACTCTTAGATATTAAATATAATATTTAATAGCTGATTTATAGATATTTCTGTAATATTTATTTATGGTTTCTGACCATTTCAACAAATTATCAACAAGCCATCAATATATTTATATTAATCCATTTTTGTCATTAAAAATATGAAAATAAAAAATATTTACTACTTGTCGACTTGGTGTTAAGCTATGTTAAGTAATGTTAAATAATGACGTCAACTATTTCATGTTTTTCCATAAATTTTCATGTAACTGCACTATATTTTCTTATAAATGGAAAATGTTAAAAAAAATAGTAAAAACTAGTTACTGGTTTTAGTCTTTACTTTAAGATACTCGTTCAATATACAACTAACTATTAACTTAAATTGTAGCAACAAATAAAACAGACCGCGAAAAATCTATTGGTCGATTCGGTTTAAGTATCTGACCTTTACGAATTGGCGACTTCGATGCTGTTAACAAGCTAATCAACTCAAATTCGTTTGCTAATTTGTGGGCGTTTTAATTTTGTGGTCACATTTTCAAGGCATATTCCATTGAGGTTTTAAGTACTTTTCGTACACGGTTTTATGGAGGTCTGCAGCATTCATTTTATGCTAATTTCAATATAATGGATACTTAATTCAATTTCAATTTCATGACCAATTCGAATTTGGAGCAAATTTGAAATACATTTCATAGCAACTCGTTTGCATTGAACTTGTTATTGCCATTATCAGTGATAATTATGTATATCATTAACTAATTGATTAATATTTTTTATTTAAATTATTTTATTTAGATCATAAATTTCTCTGTTATATTAATATACTGCAATAGATAGATATATGTATAGACAAAAAGGCAGAGGGGTGTCTTCAAATGGCATTCTCTCGTCATCTTAATCATAAATATACAAAGATGGTGTGGGATCTTCTATCGTCATAATACTTGTGTAAAGGATATATATATTAATGGAATTAATATATAATAAAATTGGTATATTAATAAACTGTAATAGATAGATATTTGTATAGACAAAAAGGCAAACGGATATCGTCAAATGTTTTTTTCTTCTCATATTAATCATAAATATACAAGAATCGTGTGGTAACTTCTATCGTTATAATATTTTTGTAAAGGATGTAAAAATGATGGAATATAATAAATCACAAAATATTTTATTTAATATTTACACTGTTAAATAAAATAATAAATTATAATGTCAGCTATTGCTTTTATTAAACAAATCTAAAAGATAATTAAATGTATACAAAGTACATCTTCTGACATACCATCCGTTTCAATTCCATTCTTTCTAATATATTTATTAGACAAATCTAGGGGATATATTAGATAGAGACCCCATTAGATTAAATTTTATTCTTATTAAATCGGAAGTTATACTTTTCCACTGATAATATTATACTTATCTAAAGTTTTTGTTTTTATTTTGAAAAAAATGAGCTGACAGGTTAGGTATATAAAATTTTAACTTATTCTACAGGATGAGGCTTTAATTCAAATTTTGTTTATCTATCTGATGTTTTTCTGAGAGAGAAGAAGGATGCTGATGCGTGTTTATCTCCATCTATTAATAGGATTTTTTAAATAATTGATTCTAAGTTCTGTTAGATTCCAAAACAAGAATTTTACTTTCTTTGCATTTCTTCATTTAACTTTGAGTCAAGATCGTTACTCCAATTTACAATTTATCTGTGCTCTTAAATAGTTCGCATATGGAAATTTGTATTGAGGTATCGGTCTTCATTATGCCCATTATGGAGTCACTACAACATTCACATTCCAATAACTCAGCAAAAAAATATTATGTTGCTTAATATTTATTCCCTTTATGAAATATTATATCTTCCTCTATTCATAATTGACGAAGGTTTTTAATCTGCTTTTGTAATATTTTGAAAAATCTTAAACTTTTTCAGATCGATGTCTGACATCTTTCAAAGATTAATTTTTTATAGAAAATTATTCTCCTGTATTATATAAGAGTGGTATGTTCTCCAAGGACATCTGGGTATGTTTTGGCGTTTTTCAAACATAATTAAAATTTATCGGTTGTTAAAAATTCTAATCTGACTTTTACTTATTTAGAACGCTCCAATCGCATCAATAATTTTTTTAAAATTCGATCTTCTCAGATTTGTTCTCTGGGAGCAAATAAATCACTATCGGTACATCAGAGCTAATAATTTGTATTAAGCTGGTATTTTTATCAGTTGCGAACATTTTAATCAGGGAGTCGATGTAACTGCATTACCTTTCTTTAAATTTGTTCTCTGGGATCAAATATATCACTATCAGAACGTCTGATTGTACTAATTTGTATTTGCCTGGCGTTTTTAGCAATTGCAAACATTTCAATTAGCGAGATGGTGTGACTGCTTTACCGACATGCTCTTCCAATAGATATCTGCACCTTTACCTTATGTTTAAGCCTTCTGAGTAAATGCGGACTCTAGAAATGCTTGTCACAAATCCTAGTTCCAAACGTCCCTCTGTGTTATTCTTCTTCTCAGTTTTCCTTTTTTCTTCTGTTATTTCACATATATCTTAAGCAGTTTCAAGTAAAAGATTGTAATGACTTTAATCTATATAATTTTGAAAATGAAAACCTTTCGTGATGTGCACGTTCGTTAAGTCTTTAAAGTACTGGAATTTAACTGATAATGTCACTTTAAGCTACGTACTTAATACTATTATTAGAGACATATTAAATTATATGGTAGAATAATGTTTTTTTATCATATTTATATTTAAAATGTATCCATCTAAGTTTAGACGTAGTTTCTAGTTTGTTTAAAATACTTTGTATAATAAATACAATCAAAAATAAATTTAATATTTGAGTTTATAATAATTTTATTTTGATATTTAATTTATTTTAAATTTTAATCATATTTTCTTAATTTATTCTATTATTTTATCTAATTTTATTTTTATCCTCTTTGTGTTTATATTCTGTTTGCAACTTTTCATCCTTACTATTTCACTATTATTAGTTTTTAGAAGTATTTTAGAAAATCACATAGAAGATTATATTAAATATTTTCAACAAAAATTAAAATAAACAAAAACTTCATATTAAATATAGTAAAAATAACAAAATTCACAAAATTTGTCAAAACTAATTTTTAAGGTACCTTATAGTTGACAAGACATAAACTGCAATTGACAACTTGCACACAAACCAAGGTTTGACATGCCATTGAACACTTAAGTACATTGTACAGGTTAAAAGGATTAGATCCTTTTTTTGAAATGTGCATCATAAGGACCATAAAGGTAAAAAAAGAGAGTCTATGCAAAGAATAAGTTTTAATAAAATGTACAATATTAAATTAAAAGGTGTACTCCTTTGACGTATCTATTTAAATTTATTATTATTTTTACAACCATATTCATTTGACATTTCTTTATTAAATAGTTATTAAAAAATTAAAGCAAAATAAAATATTTAGACTGACTTAGAACTTCTAAAAATAAAGGACATTGCGAATTTTTTTTGAGATATGAAATAATTTTCGAGATTTCCATTTCCATTTTTCGTACCAAACTCAAGTGTTTACTGTAGACTTTTAAGTGCGTGTACAAGTAAATGAAAACAAACAATAAATCCTAAATAAATCCTATTTTCACAAAAGGATTTACATTGTTGACTGTGTATATTTTTTATTTAAAGTTTTATTAATATCCTTTTGGTCAAGTATGAACTGAATTTTAAGAATTTTAAGCCTAAGTAAGCAAAAACAAATTCCTATACGCACTCATATAACAACACTAGGGAATAAATGTGGAACTGACCCAGAGTGAGGGTCACTTTATAAGCTGCTGGGTACTTTAGAGGTTCAATTTAATACTCCCAATGGCCTTTCGAATATATTTGACTTTATTTTAACAAAATTTGCATTTAGCCAGCAAATTGCTTGAAAAAAACACAAACGAGAGTTGAGTTTCAAGAAGTTTTATATTTGCTATTAATTTTTATGCATAATTTACTTTAAAATTGCTGATCTTACTTAAGTAAAACTCTTGAAATGTTATTTTATATGCTTAAAAGGATTTCATAGACAAATCGAAAGTAGAGAGAGTAGTTACTTTTGATTGCTTCTGCAGATAATACGAAGGATGACAAATGTCAACAAAAATTTACAAAGATAATTTATATTAAGTATTTTTCTTCTGGACCATATACTCAATAAATACATTTTATATTTAAATAAATTGTAACATATGTATTTGAATTGATTTCAGTAAATTTAAATATTTACGAAAATTGTGATTTATAAGGTACTTTTTATTCACTCTATAAGTTAGATTAGGTTATACCGGCGATCCCAAGGGGATCCACTTAAGCCTATAGGCTTATTGAGCTACAGTATTATTAAAAACCCAAAGGTTAATTTCACTCTATAACGAATATTTAAATGATTTTTTGATTATTGTTTTATTATAAGCTCAAACAATTTAATTCAACTTAATTTGAATTATATCATTCATTGCTTTACCGGAAATATTATCATCAGATACTTTACACGCTATTATAGCAAATTATTGTCTTGTCCTATAGTCGAGTTTAGTTGAGAAAAAGAGAAATTTTGACTTGTGTGAAAATTATTTTTATTTAAAGAAAAAGTTTTAAAACTTACAATAAAAATTTGCACATAAACCAACCTATTGTAATTTAAATTAGTAAAGAAAATAATATATTTTGCTAGTATCCTATATGAATAAGGTTATTGAGAATTAAGCTACTCCATTAAAATGCTAGTAGGCTTTGTACTTGGGAACTAAGTAAGAGTCACGGTTAATAAGTAAGGTAACTAATATCTAAGGTACTAAAGAAGCTTATAGGTTAACATGGCCAATAAAATATAATAAAATTAGATTCTCGGAACTCATCAAAAGAGACCGCATGAGTACTGCAAGGCTTACTGCAGTTCTTTCGGTCATTGATGTACAGGAATTCACGCATTGAAACTGCGAATTCCTTATAATCTTCACTGCAGAAGTTGTGGAACCCCCACGAAAAAGAAACCAAATTTTCGAAGGTAGTCGTGTTATTATTTATCTGATAAGGCAAATTTTTTAACTAATGTGTAAAGATACAAATGGTCAGAAAACAGCTTTGTTTATTTTATAAAACCACATGAAGTTGTTCTTGATGTTTTCTTAAAGACTTTGATGGTGAAATCTTAGTCGATATAAGAACCTAAAATATTGTTTTAGAAACAGTTTAAAAAAAATTTTCTTTTTTATAATATAAATTTTTCTTAAAAGAACAATAATTTCAGTAGCTTTTAAATAACCATAAACCAATCCAATTCATGAACCAATAAAAAGTAAATAAATTTATACAATTTCCTCACTACTTTTTGAATTTTCGTAAAGGTATGAGTATTTTTTTATGTTCAATCATGAGTATTACTATAAAAATTTCTCTTCTGCCACAATTATTCTGGATATTTATGAAAAGTCTGTAACTTTTTTCACATGCAGATATTTTAAAGTTTTTAATTTATGAAATATTTGTTTAACTGTATCTTGCAGATTGTTTTCGTCCTTGCTGCAATTGTTGCTTGCGTACATGCACGTCCAGGTGGTCCAGCCGCTTATTCCATTTCAGTGCCCAGTTTGGATCATGCTTCCGTAGGCAACACACAGGAACATACAGTTAAAGGACATGGTGGACAGACGTCACAATCAGACTATTCCAGCCAAGTACAAACAGCGCATTCACAATCACATGTACAGCGCTCAAGCGTTAGCCACGATACTGGCTTGGCTCCTGGTAAATATTTAAAAAAAATCAAATAATAAGAAAAGGAAATACTGCACATTTGCACAAAAGTAATGCATGCTACACTTGCTTGCCAAAACAAAAAAAAAATTGCACAAAAAAAAGAACATTTTTTCACTTATTAACAGAAATAATAAAAAAATTAAATCAATTAGCTTCTTTAATGCCTAATAATATGCTTTGAACAAAATTAATATTAAATTAAGGTCACGTAGTTGCTGCTGCACCAATAGCACATGCTTATACTGCACCAGCAGCTCCAGCATACTATGCGGCACATGGATATGCTGCACCCGCAGCAATTTCGCACGGCATTTCGTATGCAGCTGCTCCAGCCATCAGTCATGGCTATACAGCGCCCGCTTATAGTTATGCTGCACCTGCCATAGCTCAGCACTCATACGCACCCGCTGGTGTGCATTACGCTGCCGCTCCAGCGATTGGCCACTACTCTGCACCAGCAGTTTCACACAGTTACGTTGCATCGGCACCAGCCGCTGTGAAGATTGCGGCCGCACCCGCTTACGGTAGGTTGAAGAATTCATTCATACGTTAAAGCTTTTATTAATTGAGTTTCAATTCATTGATTTGGATGTGGCTTAAATATTTCTAGTAGTAAATATAGAAGTAGATGTAAGTCTATTTGTTTTTATTTTGCACTTTTTGCTTGCACTTTAGTTGCACTTTGTAATTTACTTGTGGGAAAATTTTAGTCTCGTTAATTAAGTCTGCTTAAGTATACGATAGCGCTTTTTTCCATATTTAAATGTAAATTAATTTTTATTTTAATATAAATTATTTTATTTTAAATGTTATAGATATATAAGCTGATTAAGACACTCCTCTTTCTTTTCATTTATAATTTTAATATAAGTGTTTTTTGCATTGTTAACATTTTTATTTTAATATTCCTAAAAGCTTCGCAAAATCATTTACACAACCCGAGAGTAAGGAGCACTCAACTCTGCATAATTGTCAAGTGATGTTATGTGTCTTCTTCTCAGCACATTTTGCTACAATTTCTTTGACACCAATTCGAAGTAATTCTCGTAAGCGAAGTACTTACATATGCTCAGTCATTTCAAGTGTCAAATATTCCCCAAATACATATCAAGTGCAGCACATGTTGCTTTGCTGGTAGTTAAGTTCACAAAATATTTGTTTTTCCCCGGCAGGGAGACAAGCCAGAAATACACAGTAAAATTTGAGTTATGCAAAGCGAAGAACTCCTATCAATCAAAAAGGCAAATAGATTTGATCGATTATTTCTGGTAATTTCTAGCAATTTCTGCAACATCTGCCCAAAGTGCGAACGCCACCAGCTGTGAAAAGTGACTATTTTGGTCGTTGTTCAATTAAAAAGTTTATATGCCAAAATCAATATTTTCGTCTTAATCTGAAACTGTGAATAAGAAGAAGAAAAAAGTAATAAATAGTAACTTTCCCAGACTTAAGGTAGCTTAAGAATTAAGTTTCATTTAGTTTTTCCTTTAATAGTTTCAGAAGAGTTTTATTAAATAATTGGTATGTAATATCCTTAAATTTTGTGAAACTATATAAGAAGTTTATAAATTTTTATTATAAAAAAATTTATACTTATGAAACTATTTATAAAACTTATTAATTACAGATAATACCTATAACAACTTATCCTAATTTAAAAAGAGCTAAAGAGAGAATGAAAAATTAAAAGAATAAAATTTTATTTTTAATTAATTAAATATGATTAACAATACACAAGCTATATGTATTACCAATTTTATATTTCATTATTAGATTTTTATAATGTTAAATTACATTAGTATTATATTTCAAATTGCAACTAGCCTTCAAACCCTGTCAAATTTGAACCGAAAATTCACGGCTTGAACACTTAAACCAATGCCATACTTAATAATTTTGTTTTGTTGTTGTTGTTTCTAGAACAAACTCACTTGCCGTGGCATATTAGAACAAACGCATAAACCACAGCTTTACTTTCTTAGGTTGAGATTTTTCCGACCTAGTGCAACTGGGCACTTTTACTCTTTCTTAACTGTGGGGTTACTACAGAGTCTCTTCATTCTCTTTGACTAAATTATGTATTCCTCACAAGTTTCTCTGATTATTCGACGACTGATCTAAGGTCTGCATACCGCCCCGTACGGCTAATGACTTCTGAGATTAGATAGTGCTATGTAGAGCAGCTTGTAGCGTATAGTTTCAGGACTCTATTGCTTATGTATTTCTTGACCGGTTCTATTCTGAACCGTTATTCATAATTGTAATTAAAATTCATTTTTTGTTAACCTATTAGAAATAGTTTTGCTGATGTTTCAATTGTATAATCGCTTAAAGCGACTCGAAATACAAAACAATATTTGTTTTTAATATTCTAAACTAATTCTAATAAAAGTTAAATAAAATGAAAAACATTTTAAAAATAACTAATAAAGGGATAAATAGTAATAAATTACAGCAATAAAATTTGATTTTTCATTATTTGAAATTTTTTGACTAACACTGCAATCATTGCTTAATTTTGTTTGAATTTGTCTAAAAAAAATTCAGTATAAAATTTCCTGAGGCACTGGACTTGTTAATAATATTTATTATTTTTTTTTTATAACAATTTTATTTAAAATGAGTATACCTAGAAGGTCCATTGCAACTGTAACTATTGTAAATACTATTAATTAAAATACAATAAAAACAATCAAAAACTTACATTTAAAATTTTACCCCAAAATTTTACTCTGAGCTTCAAATTTTGCAGGGTACGAGTTCAATCTTTGGTACTTGCAGTCTTAAAAAATTATTTATGAATAATTAAATATAGGAAATAATACTAAAAGACCGCTGATGACAAGTTTTTAGACATACTCGAAGCAGCTGCATAATTAACCAAAAATTAATTTAAAAAATAATAAAAATTTTGTTGTTGCAGTTCACTACTGTTCGAAGGCTCACTACCTTACGTAATATAAATGGATACTATAGAAAAAAAATTATGTTTAATAAAACAGATGAGATAAAAGCAAAGCAGCTATTAAGTTATGCTTAGACTTTGCATTCTAGCTTGTAAGCTTACGGTTATAGAGTGAAATAGTAAGGAAGTTCATTGAGACTTTAATAAAATAATATGAAGAAAATTGAGAGAGTTTACTAAAACATCACAAAATAAAGTTGAACATTTAAAAGCTGTCGGAAATATATTTAGTATATCATTTCTATTTAAAGAAATCAATTGTGAATGTGAATTATTTTAGTAGTATTATAGATGAAAGCGGTTGTAAAAAAAGAGTTATGCTTCTAATTTATCCAATCAAGAAGAACTTTTCCTTAAAAGACCTAGATACAGTTAATGTAAAGGGATTTATACAAAAACATAAGTTTAAAAGTAGAGACAATAATATGATAATGAAAGTAGTAGAAAATCAAAGTGTTTAAGTCTAATCATATATAGAAAAATGTATAAAAGAACTATAAAAGAAAAATTAACTTGATAAACCAAAAGAGATAAAAGCACAAACCCATCTATATTCCCCTTTTGCTCATTTTTATTTTCAAATTTTTTAAGAATAAGGTACTGAACCAAAGAAAAGAAACGATGAGTCAAAACCCAAGAAACAGAAAAACTTATTTAAATTTTCTTCTATATTTCTCCTTAACCCTTTTTTTAATTTAAGATTTTTTGGTTTTTTTAATGGTTTGTTATATTTGGTACATTAATACTTCTTCTATATGTATATCTCTATATTATACCCAACTAGAAATTTGTTCAGGATAAATGTAACATTGTCCATACCTGGTTAGCCAGCTAAATCTTGGCTTACATTCTGAACAAATCGTCAGTCGGGTATATTGGTATATATTAGTTTTTTTTCTCCAATAGAACCGAGTCGGTGGTAGTTGTGCACACTTATTATTTTTAAGACATTTTCTGAGCCTTCAATTTTTATTTCAATATTCGTATCTGTATTTTCTTTTCTTTGGGATTTTCCTTGCTTGGCAATATATAGACATAACCTACTTCCTACTACCTAGCTACCGTATATAATATAGTATAATAATATTTTGAAGCCCAAATAGATTGTTTACCTTCTTATAAGCGGAAATGAATATCATTTTCAATACTGGATATATGTTGGAAGTGGACTTATGAGTGCTTTCTAAATCCTTATTTTCCTTATTCGCTTGATTAGTTTGCTTTTTAGTAGCACTATATGATTATCTTTGTTAATAAACACTCCTTGCTGCATATTATGTCGTTAAATTGTATTTTTTATTAAATTTATCTTTAAATAATGTTGATTTATTTTGTCAAATATGACGCGTCTTATGATAAAAAGAAACTAGAAGGGTTCGAACAGTAATAAAGAAGTAAAAACAATATTCTTTATCTCTTCTTGTTTATGAAAAGTATATTTATCCTTGAAAAGATCCTATTACACTTCCTATATTAAGTTTATTCTAAAAAATGTTTGCTACAAGTTAACTTCTACGTCGAAATAAAGAATTAAATTTTTTTTACTCTCTAATAATTTTTAAATAGTTCAGTATTTCTTGCTCTTATTATTATTATTACTAATTTATAAAAAAATAAATTAATTTTTATCTCCATTACAATTATAACACATATATTTCTCTTAATAATCGCATAAGTAAAAAAGTCTTAAAAGTCTTAAAAAAGTCTTAAATTTATCTTAACAAAAGTTAATTCTGGGGATTTTAGTTTAATCCAAAATTTATTACGCATCTTAACTTCAAGAATTTATTCAATTGTTCTACATAACATATGTAATCCTTCATATCCTCAAATTTGAAATAATCTCATATTATCTCTCGTATCCTGCTTCGTTGACAATTTTAAATTGTTAATTTCCTTTTAATTTTTTGTTGTGAAATAAAAATTATTTCTTTCTGTACAAAAAATACAAAATACTACAGTGTGGAGGGTAGGAAAAGGAATAAATCTTTTTTAGTAATTTTCCCAGAGGTTCATTGTTCTTTTCACTTAATTTAACAATTTTAGTATCAAAGCAGACTTCATGTCGTACCAGAAATGGCATGGCGTGGCACAATTTTATGTCCTTTCTCTGTGGCATACGATTGTTCGGATGCTGCAAGGAGAAGATAATTAAAGTTATATGTCAGCTTTCCAGTAGCACAAAAGGCATTATTTCACCACAATCGTCAATTGTCAGAGACATATAAGCGTAAACTTTTTTTATATTTTTACTTATTTTATTTGACTTCATTTAAAATTTTCAGCTATTTTACGTTAAGAGGAAAAAATGAATGAAAAATTTTATTATTATTTATTTTATGCGTACGCGTACTCATTGCAGTACTTAAAAAGTCTGTGCGATTGGATATCATAAAAATCAATCAAAATATATCACGTCAAAATTTTTCATTCAACCATTAAACCCAAACCGAAAAATTTTGACTAAGGCCTTTAAGCTACAATATTTTCGTTACAAATTTTTTTAACAGCGTTTAACAATCTTTTACTGATAGACTGTGATTATATATAGATGAAAGA